ACAAAGGCGACCATTCAGGGCTTCTCTGAAACCTGACAGGTCAAAACAAAACTTCGAAACAAAAGCACCTTACAACCATCATCTCTCCTCTTTACTTGTCAGATCAAGTTTACTAGTGTCTGAACTGAAATGGCATCACTGTGCCAACTGCTACAAGATGATTTTTCATGTCTTGACAAAAAATGTCTTTTTTTCCCCTGTTTGTTCTACATTAAGGTGTCACATTTATTGATCAAGGCCTTTCCTGCAGCTGCAGAAAGCCCCTTGGTTTATGAAGGGGAAACTTTGATGTTGTCAAGGTAATAAAAGGTCAAAATCTGCACATCAACTAAATGCACCATAAAAAAGATTTCCAGTCCATAACATCTTTACTTGACTTGGCTGCTAATGAATGTGACACTATAAACAAAAAAATCTACGGCTAAAAGTTCATGGAAATATTTGTAATTTTTTAATCATTTGCCTTTTATGCATAGTTAAACAGCGGGAGTCTGACTGACTCATGCCAATTGCTTACTGCAACCAATAAATTTTGAACTTTAAGGTGAAGTTAAAAATGTGCACTTTTTCAAAACAGTGAAAAATTCGGCAATAAGTTTCATGTCCTCATGAAATTTAAGACTGTCTAAACAATTTTGAAACGCATTCCTTCATAGTTAAATTGTCTTTTAAGATTTTAAAGGAAAAATAAGTAACGTTTTAACCTTTTTTAGATCGCACAATCTGTATATGTCTGTCAGAAGTTGCACAATGGATGAAGCACCCTCAAAGAGAACATTCAACAATATAATCATCGCAAAATAACTTCATGACTGATTATAAGGTCTTACGGGTGACTAGAATACGTCAATCCTAGATCTTCAAAGATGGTGCAAATGTTTATTCCAGCATTGTAGCCAGTTTAATTTTGGAGGTTCACCAATTGCATGGCATAGAATGCAATTCAACCCAAGCCTACAATCAAAAATACAACTCTGGTGATCTTGAAAAGTATTTTACTATCTTGTCAGAGATGTTGACATTATTGGGAAACTTCGGATCCACAGGTCATTTAACTGTCCACAGCAAAAGGATAGATCTTAGGGAAATGGACAAGATAAAATTACCTTTGTGACAATGACTGGGAACTTATACAGCTAATGGCACAATTATTTAACACAGAGGTTTCCACAAAATGGTAGTTTTGTGCTCAACAATAACACGGTACAGCATTTTACAGTAAGATCAGATTAGCACTCAGGTAACTAACATTATTTAATAGGGAGTAAGAGAGAACATCTCAGAGATCCTACATGCTTGGATTCTAGTTCCATTTTGTGGTAGCACTGATAGCATTGTCCAGCATCCCACCATGCTTCATATGCAAGGCTTCCCAAATGAAGAATGAACAGATGAAGTGATCAAAGACATCAACAGCTTGTAGTTTAAAAATGACTTGGATACTTGCCATAATAGTTGAGTTACTTATGAAGGAAGGAAAACCACCTAACTGGCCCATTTTCAGCTGTTACTTGACCTGCTTATAGGTCATATATTTAAACATGTCCCAGGCTACCATTCCACTGAATGACTGGTCCAAATAACCATTCAAGATTTAAAAAAACCCTTAAGGAAGTAGTATAGCTCCTCCTGCAGAATTACTGAAGTTCACAATGGAGAGATTGGCAACTAAACATTAGCAGTGGCTTCATATACTTACCAGTCCCAAATGTTGCCAAATTTAGGCTCTGAGGGATATAGATTAAAAAAAAGTGAATATGTTGCTACAGGTAGATAGTATGCACTCCGTATCATATAGTTAGAATTTGTATGGATTTCTTTGTCATATTTGGAGAGTCTTGAGTATCTTAGAAGGTTATACACCTGACTGACAAAACAGTAAGTATAAAATATCAATTTGTCTATAAATAACAAGATCTGAGGATCTGATTATATTTAATATTTGCAGTGTGTTATCATTTTGAGTTTCAGTTATTATAGAAGTCATAGAATCCCTACAGCTTGGAAACGGGCCATTCGGCCCAACAAGTCCACACCACCCCTCCAAAGAGCATCCCACCCTGACTCATTCCCCTACCCCTGCATTTCCCCATGTCTAAGCCACCTAACCTAAATATCCCTGGACACTATGGGCAACTTTAGCATGGCCAATCCACCTACCCTGCACATCTTTGGACTGTGGGAGGAAACCGGAGCACCCGGAGGAAACCCACGCAGACACAGGGACAATGTGCAAACTCCACACACACAGTTGCCTGAGGGTGGAATCGAACCCGGGTCCCTGGTGCTGTGAGGCAGCAGTGCTAACCACTGAGCCACCGTGCCACCCCAGTTATGAATCGGAAATGTTAAATCAATTGTTGCAACGTTGTTACTGTTAAATTAGTGTTACACTTTATGCACTATGCTTGTTTCCATGATGCATCTCCGAATTCTGAACATATATTACTATGTTTCAAGTTACGGAGGAAACTTTGACTTTTCTCAATAGCATGTTACACAGGCACAAATGGAGCCAGACATTTACCAGCAATGTATATAAACAAACAAATAAAACAATCACTACCTGAAAGATTTGCCCTGTGTAGGTTTTCAAAAGTACAGTTCTAGGATTCTCATTGCTGTACTTGTGTTTTGGAAATATTCCATCCATGTTGCAGCCTATTGCATTTCTTGAGTTTCCAAAGGATATATTCCAAGTTAAATTACATCACAGAAACATATAAATTTTGCTACACATTCTCATGAGCAAAATAACACATGTTCATTGTGCAATATAAAATTTGCAAACTTTTGTGTTGTTGTATACTATTGATAAGAACTTTTGAACATTCTGCATCTACTGGCCACTGTAATCTGGCCCTGAAATTAAGCCAATGTAATTTGAACTATGAAATAGTTTGGGTCTCACCAATGACAATGAACTACCCACATTCTTTTTCAAATGTGAAAGAACCACAATGGACAAATCTTACATGATTTAAAGAGCATCTGGCATTCACCGTCACATGGAAATAATTTTGTTTCTTCTACAAGAACGAACTGCTGCTGTTCAGTATTTTTAAATTTTGCCAAATATAGCACATGATCCTAGAAATGACTGATGCCAACATTAGTCGATGAATATTGGTGTGTGTCATCGCTCTGTTTAGTTAAAGCAAATTACTTCCTTCACTAAAATAGCTGACAGAGATACATAAGTAATAGAAACAGTAGTAGGTCACTTGGCCCTCCAGCCTGCTCCACCATTCAATAAGATCATGTTTGATCTGACCGTAATCTTAGCTGCACTGATTTGCACGCTGTCTATAACCCTCAACTACCTTATCAATCAGAAATTTGTTCAATCCATCCTTGATATTTAATGACTCAGGTGAACACCATTGAGATAGAAAATTCCAATGAATCACAAACACAGGAAATTCCTGTTCATCTCATCTGAAATGGGAGACCCGTTACTTTTAAGTAGTGCCCCTAGAACTAGATTCCCCATGACAGGAAACTCATCTCAGCATTCATCCTGTCAAGTCCCCATTAGAACGTTGTATGTTTCAAAAAGGTTGTCTCTATCTTCTAAACTCCATTGGGCTCCAGCTGCTCAGCTTTTCTTAAGACACCCTATTCATTCCAGGAATCAGTCCTTGGATTTTTCTGATTTGCTTCCAATGCAAGTTCCTCAAGTAAGGTAGCCAAAACTATACACAAAATACTAATCATTAAGTAGCAACATACAGTTAAACATTTATTTGTAAACAAGCAGTAAGAGATTTACTTTTTGGCTACTAAGAAGTCAAAAGTTTAACAGGAATACCAATGCAGGGGAGAGAACAAGCCCAGTGCAGGGGAGAAATCAAGCCCTCATGGGAAAGCTCAGCATGGAGTGTCTGCAGGTCCATGGCTAAAGAAAGACTGTAACACTGAACTTTATTTCTGCATTTTCTTACTTTATACTGAGAAAAACTATAATGTTGAACTTTTAACTTATTTCTTTATTTTTCTACTTTGTATCTAAGATTTTGAACCTCGCTACCTTTGTAGGCAAGATGGCACTGGGAGTGGTGAACTTGTACACTTTTCACACTACTCATGTATCCCTATACTTGAGGCTAGGTGACAATAAAACCTAATTCTAACTCATTTATAGATATTTGTATTCACACATATGAAGGCCATATTAAATGTTTCCAGATAAAAAGACTTAAAACAATTCTACTATGCACATAGTAGAGTCAATTTTGAAGTTGTCCCATTTATTCATGAGCACTGAAAGGCTAGCACCAACCTGATGCTGGTTCAGCCTTCTGGGAATAGAAACTTCCAGCATAAACGAGCAGGCTGTCATCTCGGTAAAAGAGAGGAGGCAGGAAATCCAGTGGCCAATCTGCAGAGCTGGAGAAAGAGAATTCAAGCTCTGCCTGTCCCCCAGAAATTGACAACAGACTTGATGGATTGTCTAAATGACCTCCAGGAAACAGTGGTTTAGCTGCATTATATTCAGTATAAGCTGGGTGTCGTGTGTGCTGTGTTACGTGTATGAAAGTCAAATATGTTGATAAACATGACTTCAATGTTCTTTCGCCCTAAGTTCCCATTTCAAGGTCATCTCAAATTTTCAGCTAGTCAGAACAAGTGTATTTATTGCAATTTTTGCATTATGACTTTTACTTTTAGGTAAAGATCGAGGGATAACAATTAATAGTTATTCTCAGTGTTCCAGTTACAAATGCCTTCTAATTAAGCTGGTATTCTAAACACAAACATTCAAATTATCCAAAGTAGAAAATATGCACAGGTGTGTATTATATTAAGCCAGAAGAAAAACCTGCAACAAAATTGACATGTATTACGTATTCATTGCTCTTTTAACTTCACGTCACAAATAGTAGATCATACAAAGCAACGAAATTCATGGAGTAAAGATGTGTGTTGAATTTAGATAGTGCTGCTTATACTCCAGAGATATAATGTGACGCTGAGATGCTTATGGATTACAACCTTACCGTAGTAGATTGAAACTAAGATCGAGACGCTTTGTGAAGTGTCCGTATTTCCTACCAAGAAATTCTGGAATACTTTCACAGTCTTGACCAATATAAGACACCTGTATAAAACACATGATGAAAACATGAAGTTGAAAAAGGATGAAATCATACTAACCTTTCACAACAGATATTTGCTGCGGATTTTATTCAGTTGAAAACCCACTAAAAATTAATATGCATATGACTTATTAGCATAGTCTTATCCATTATTTTAATTGAAAGAATGAAAAATCAAAAAAAATTGCTTTCAACAAGAATCAGCAGAATGCTTTACAAAAATACCTACAGTACCATAGTTGGCGAACTGATTTTTAATGCAAAAAATGGATTTTTTTTTGATTAGTCCCAAAGAATCAGAAAATAACATCAACGCTATAAATAACCACACTAGCATTACTTATTCAAGATCTTTATTTATTTTTAACTTCACATTCCCATTTGTAATTTTGGAAGCTGCTTCAAGCATGCGGTTCAAAATTGAAGAATTTTGTTCAAAATTCAAGATCTTTTAAATTGTTGAAACAGTTGATTAAGCACAAACTGCTGGTAAATCTCAATTATCTTTTAATTATAGAAACACAACGTTTTTTCAGTCAGATTAATTTGCCTGATCACATATTTACAGACTTTTGAAGTGGATGGGAAAATGGGGTGCTCATCTAATCTATGATGCAATACACAAGGTAAAAGATTGGTACTTTTGGAACATGCCATTCCATATATCACTTCAAAGACGAAACACAATCATGCTTCTGGAAATTGCTTTGTTATGAACACAGATTGAATTTTGGAAGAACAGTGCAAATGTAACAGTTTAGAAATATAAAACTTATTATTTTGTACGAATTTCCTTTTACATAGGGTTTGCAAGGAAAATCTGCCACAAAAAGAAACTTTAGAAACAATGGGAAAAAAAGCTGTGATTCACTAGCTGGCTCCTAAAAGACAGAAAAAAAAATGAAAACATTTCAGAAATTTAAACTGCTTAAAAATGTGCACAACCATGTCCAATTCCACAGATACAATTAGAGTGAAGCATTTAACATACCTGCTTCCCATTCAATAATTGCATCAATAACTTACATTCCTTCAGTTCTTACAGCATGTTATACCTCCCACTTTGTGAAAAGGAATTTGAGAAATGTCTCCTAGATGGTTGTTTTGGAGCAGCTTGTGGTCACCATAATATGATAGAATTCATCCCGCAGTATGAGAGGGTGAAGCTGAATCAGATGCAATAGTATTGCAATTGAGTAAAGGTAACTACATATATGAAAGGAAGGAGCTGGCCAGAGTTGATTAGAAGGGGAGCCTAGCAGGGAACATGGTACAGCAGCAATGGCAGCAGTTTCTAGAGGTATTCAAAAAGCACAGCAGAAATTTATCCCAAGGAAGCAGAAACAAACTTTGGGGAGGATGAGGCAACCATGATTGACAAGGGAAGTCAGGGACAGCTTAAAAGCAGAAGAGAAAGAATACAATGTGAAGATGATTAGTGGGAAGTCTGTGTGTTGGGGGAAGATGATGAAATGGGGAAAGCTAGCTAGTAATAGAGAAGAAGATTGGTATATATATCTAAAAATCTCTTGCAAAGTAAAAGAGGCAAGAGTAGACATTGGACTACTGTTTAAAAAAGGCTATAGTGGAATATGTAGTAATGGGAAGAAAGAAATGGTGGAGGAACTGTAAGAGTACTTTGCATCAGTCTTCACATTGAAAGACATCAAAACTTCAAGACAGCCAGGAGCCAAAGGCTAGTGTGGTGACCACAGAGAAGAAGGTGCTGTATAAGCTAAAAAGGTCTGAAGGTGAATAGATCATCCACACTGGATGGACTATACCCTAAGATTCTGAAGGAAAAAGCTGAGATGATTATGGAGCCATTGTTTGTGATCTTTCAGGAATTACTGGAGTCAAGGAGGGTCCCAGAGGACTGGAAAATAGCTAATGTAACATCATGTTTAATAAATGAGGGAGACAAAAGACAAGAAATTATAGGCCATTTAGCCCGACCTCAGTCATTGGCAAGACTGCATTAGTAAGAAAGAGATTGCAGAGTGCTTGGAAGTGCATGTTAAAATAGGGATGAGTCAGCATGGCTTTGTCAAGGGAAAGTTTGAATTCTTTGATGAGGTAATGAGCAAGTTGTACAAAAGGACAACCTAGTGGACATGATCTATTTGAATTGGCGAAGTTCTTCACGGGTGCTCCACAGGTGGCTGCTAAGCAACATAACAGCCCATGGTGTTAGGGGCAAGGTAATGGCATTGATTGGCTGACTGGCAGAATGCACAGTCAGTGACTAGTGGAGTTCTGCAGTGGTCAGTTTTGGGGTCACAACTATTCAAGTTATACATTAACCATCTGGATGAAGGAATGGAGGGCATTGTTGTTAAGTGTGCAGATGATACAAAGACAGGTAGCGTTGAGGAAGTGAGGAGACTGCAGAAAGATTTGGACAGTCTAGGAGAGTGGGAAAAGTAGCAGCAGACGGACTACAACGTGGGAAATTTTGCGGCACGGTGGTTAGCACTACTGCCTCACAGCGCCAGGAACCTGGGTTCGATTCCACCCTCGGGCAAGTGTCTGTATGGAGTTTGCACATTCTCTTTGTGTCTGTGTGGGTTTCAACCAGGTGCTCCGTTTCCTCCCACAGTCCAACGATGTGCAGGCTAGGTAGATTGGCCATGCTAAATTGCCCATAGGTGTTCAGGGATGTGTAGATTAGGTGTGTTAGCCATAGGAAATGCAGGGTTACAGGAAAAGGGTAGGGGAATGAGTCTGAGTGGGATGCTCCTCAGAGGGTCAGTCTGGACTTGTTGGGCTGAAGGGCCTGTTTCCATACTGTAGGGATTCTATGATTCTATGAACAGACTTGATGGGCATAATGGCCTAATTCTGCTCATAGATCTTATTGGAATGCACTTTGATAGGGAGAACAGAGGTTTAGACTATTTTATAAATGGTGAAAGGCTTTGCAAGTCTGAAACACAAAAGGGACTTAGGAGTCCTAGTTCAGGATTCTCTTGAGATTAACATGCAGGATCAGCTAGCAGTTAGGAAGACAAATGCAGTGTAGTATTAATTTCAAGGAAGCTAGAATTCAAGAGCAGGGATGTACTGCTGAGGCTGTATAAAGCCTGAACAGACTGCATACGTCATACTGTAAACACTTTGAGCCCTGTATCCAAGTAAGGAGGACATTGAAGAGGGTCCAGAGGAGGTTCGCAAGAATGTTGCTGGGAATGAAGGGTTTTGTCATATGAGGAGTGGTTGAGGACTCTGGGTCCATACTCAAAGAGGAGTTTAGAAGGATTTGGGGGTGAGGAATCTCATTGAAACTTACAGAATACTGAGAGGCCTGGTTAGCGTGGATGTGGAGAAGATGTTTCCACAAGAAACTGAGGGTACAGCTTGAAAAAGTGAACAGACGACCCTTTTGAACTGAGATAAGGACCTCCTTCAGTCAGAGGGCAGTGTATCTATGGAAGTCTTTGCCACAGAAGGCTATGGAGGCCTAGTCATTGAGTATCTTGAAGACATGGGTATATTGATTCTTGATTAGTATGGGGTCAAGGGTTACAGGGAGAAGGCAAGAGAATGGGGTTGAGAAACATATTAGCCATGATTGAATGGCAGAGCTGTTATGGATCAGACCAAACCCCCTGCAAATATATCGAGGAGATAGCCTAGACCCGAACTTTTATCTTATAAAAAGGCAAGTGTAAAGGTGCTGTGTTCCAGATATATTTCGATTGGTCACACTACTCAGCTTTAAGCAAAGCATCACTTTATTCTTACCCCAGTTGAAATATGAACAAAAGAAAGAAGAATTGGTATAACTTTAACTCAATTGGAAAACTTAGCAAAATAATAGATTATTTAACTACTAAACAGCAACTGTTTCAATATAGTAACATCCCATAAACTCACCATTGACAAAGGCAAAGTCAGTACAATAAGAACTTAAGAACTAGGAGCAGTAGGCCATCTGGCCCCTCGAGCCTGCCCCGCCATTTAATAAGATCATGGCTGATCTTTGAGACTCAGCTCCACTTACCCACCCACTCACCATAACCCTTGATTCCTTTACTGTTCAAAAATTTATCTAGCCTTGCCTTAAAAACATTGTAAGGTAGCTTCAACCACTTCACTGGGCAGGGAATTCCACAGATTCACAACCCTTTGGGTGAAGAAGTTCCTCCTGACCTCAGTCCTACATCTGCTTCCCTTTATTTTGAGGCGATGCCCTCTAGTCCTAGTTTCACCTACTAGCGGAAACAACCTCCCTGCCTCCACCTTCTCCATTCCCTTCATAATATGTTTCTACAAGATCTCCCCTCATTCTTCTGAATTCCAATGAGTATAAGCCCAGTCTACTCAGTCTCTCTTCGTAATCCAACCCTCTCAACTCTGGAATCAACCCAGTGAATCTCCTCTGCACGCCCTCCAGTGCTAGTATATCTCTTCTCAAGTAAGGAGACCAAAACTGCACACAATACTCCAGGTGTGGCCTCACCAGGACCCTATATAGCTGCAGCATAGCCTCCCTGTTTTTAAACTCCATCCCTCTAGCAATGACAGACAAAATTCCATTTGCCTTTTTAATTACCTGCTGCACCTGCAATCCCACCTTCAGCGATTCATGCACAAGGACACCCAAGTCCCTCTGCACAGCAGCGTGCTGCAATTTTTTACCATTTAAAACATCGTCCATTTTGCTGTTATTCCTACCAAAATGGATGACCTCACACTTATCAACATTGTACTCCATCTGCCAGACCTTTTCCCACTCACTTAGACTATCTATATCCCTCTGCAGACTTTCAGTGTCTTCTGCAGACTTTGCTCTACCACTCACCTTAGTGTCATCTGCAAATTTTGACACACCACACTTAGTCCCCCAACTTCAAACCATCTATGTAAATTGTAAACAATTGCGGTCCCAACACTAGCCACTGACCGCCAACCAGAAAAGCACCCATTTACCCCTACTGTTTGCTTTCTACTGGTCAACCAATCCTCTATCCATGCCAATACATTATCTGTAATACCGTGC